GCCCCCCTCCTGCCTGTGACGTCCTGCCTGCCCCCCCTCCTGCCTGTGACGTGCACCTTTATGTCTATTTTTACTATTGAAATGACAGACTACTGAATTAACATGAAAGTGTTAATTGAATTTGGCTACTGTGTGTTCATTTCTTTCAGACATCTTATGACGTGAAGATTTCTGTATGAATATTTGTGTGAAAATGAATTATTACAATGCCATAATGTAGTGCAACAACTTTCTTGTGACTGTGTTTTAGGAGGTTGTATGTGTGCGCTGCTCAGTTTGTGTCAGAGTTTTCTTTGGTTATGTTACTACTACAAATTTTAAGCTAAGTTAAGCAGTCATGTGAAGAGTAGGAATGGGTCTAAAGGAAAGAAAAAAATCACATGCAGCACTGATACCGTCCATGGAATACCACAACTCTTTCCAACACAGTGGCTGTTCCCCTGTTTTTCTCTGGAAAGCCAGGCTTGTGCATAGATTTCATTTTTAATATTTTGGATATAGTCACTGTGTCATTACTCGGCACGCTGCCAATTTTTATATACCAGTTTTGTACATTCAAGATAAAAGACAACCTTGAATATGTTCTGCAATTTATAATTTCTGGTCTATTACCTGGGCATAACATAAGAAATTTACAAACGAGAGGAGGCCATTCGGCCCATCAAGCTCATTTGGGGAGAACGTAACTAATAGCTCAGAGTTGTTAAAATCTTATCTAGCTCTGATTTAACGATACCCAAGGTTTTAGCTTGCACTACACTAACAGGAAGGCTACTCCATATTCCAACTACATGCTGTGTAAAGAAGTGCTTTATCAAATCCAGTTTAAAATGTAAAAGGAATGTCAAAGGAATGTAAATGAACAATGATGTCAGGCTTGCTTGCCTTGGGGCCCAGGAGCGGTGTCCTTCACTGGCTTCCTGAGCATGTTGGAGGAATCCAAGCCCAATCTGACAGGTATTGCTGTGGGTTAGGGTTAGGGTGGATTTAGGGGCAGGGGTAATGCTGGACTGCTTTCTAAACACAGGCTGAGAATGTGATTGTGCATATTTTAAAGAGCTATGTGCATATTTAAAAGTAGTGCTTGGGTTGTCATTTCATATTGTTTTATAATTGACATTATTTGTCACTGCGTCCCTGTTCTGAATAAGGTACGTGAAAGATAGATGAACTCGGGCTGTAGTTAATTCTTTGTAATTATTTTTATGATCGGCTGTTCGTGCCGTAATGCCGAGGCTTCTGATTAATGAGAGAAACAAGAATTATTACGCTTGTAACCCGTATTTTATTTACGTTATCCACGCCGAAGAGACTGGAGCGTTCGCAGCAGAAAATAAGGGTTACAGACTGGTGGCAGCGGTGTTTAAATTCAAGAGTTTCTGGAAGTTTCTCGGCTAAGGCATTCAACTAAAACGGCGCATTTTTTTTTTTGCACCCTGAAGCGTTCTAGTGAGAGTAGGATGTTCAGTAATCAGTTTAATTCGAATAGATGACTTTACCACTCGCTTTGTTATAAGTTAAACAGCAACTACGCAGTGAAAATGTCTACTGATTCTCACGTGCCTCCCGCACAAGCTTCGTCTCTTCGTGGGAGTGGTGATGATGAATCTGCACCGGCGGCAGACCACAGAGAGGACGCGACTTCTGCAAATCGCACTACAAGATTGCTGCACTTTAAAGTCGACCTTCCACCGTGTTTTCATGGAGACGGTAGGGACAAAGACAGTTTTTCTTTATGGAAAGCCCGTTTTGAGCTTGCAGTTAAGGCCTGTGCTGAATGCACAAACACAAGATTTAGCCGCTATTTTGCATGCGAGATTGAGTGGAGATGCCTTAGATTACTGGCTCTCCCTGTCTCCTGACATACAACAGAACTATGAACTGTGTGTTACTGCATTAAATGATGTTTTTGGGAGGAAACAATTTTTGCTGTATTTTCAAACTTTTGTGAATGCTCGACCACGTATGCCCAAAGAGCCTTTGGAAGTATTTGTAGCTGAGATCACAAGACTAGTTTTGGAAGCATTTCCAAATTATGGTGACTGTACCATCGCCATGGAAAGATTTTGACGGTTCGTAGCTGGTCTTGACCCGGTTCTCCAAGCGAAATGTCACGAGCATGGCTACGAGCCTAGAGGAAGCTTTAGTAAGTGGGAACGAGCACAAGAAATTCTTAGACTTGCACCTCTTCCTCCTCTCAGTCAGAAGACCAGCCTGTCACCAAATTTGTCCACAACCTTACCCAGTGAATCGCTTTCAGCCATGGTGTCCACAAAGACCACAGCATCTGGGGACATTTCTTCTGAAATCATGACTGCAGTACAGCACTTGACGGCTGATGTAAAGGCTCTCAGAATGGAAGTGAGCCAACTGAGGAGGCAACACGCTTCCTCTGGACAGAGAGGCCACTCACCAGAACGTGGAAGAGATGAGCATCGTTACTCTCCACTCTCCTCTCCCAGGAGATATCCATTGTCACCTGCATCTTCACCACAACGTCGAGATGAGCCTTATTCCTTCATCCATCGAGAGGGTGACAGACGCGGAGGTTACGGAGATCGTCACGTTAGCCCATCTTCGCATTATCTAAATCGTCCCAGGAGCTCACCTCTGCATCATCGCAATCATCACATCAGCCCTCCACCGACTCATCGAGATCATCACGTCAGCCTACCACCATCTTATCGAGGTCGTCAGGTCTGCCCACCTCCACCTCATCAGGATCGTCACCCCAGTCAGTCTCTTCCTCATGACCAACGTGTCAGCTCGACCTCACCTCACCGTGATCGCTATGGTCATCCAATCTCTGATTATCGAGATCATCGCTTACATCGGGCTTCCCATCATCAGGATCGTGATACATCAGACTGGCTCTACAACAAGTTCTCTAGAGAGAGATCTTCTACTGACCATCTGCCCTCATCTGGTGATCATCATGTCAGTTTCGTTGATGGGGATGTTGATCTTCAGGGAAACAGCTGGTAGCAGATACTATGGTCCAGGTATCTGCTGAGCCTATGCGTGGGCCCAAACAAACTGGACCGGTAATTCCTGTTATTCCCACACCTTATGTATTTGATGTCATTGAGAACATTGCCATACAGGCATTTGTTGACACAGGTTCAGCAATATCTTTGATTAGCGAAACACTGAGAATGTCAATTCCTTCGCTCGCAAAAAAGCCTATTCGGAAGTCCTTTCTCTTGGCGAAATCAGTGACTGGTGACTATCTTGATACACTGGGTTTGTTGCCTATTACTATTAGGCTAGGTGAGGAAGTGTTCTCGCATGATGTTCAGGTGGTTAGGAATGCTACACAGCCGGTTATCCTTGGGTGGGATTTCCTTAGCAAACATCATGCTCAATCAACCTCAGAGAGAATCATTTGAAATTGTGGAACTGGACTGTTTCTCTTTTGTGTTCGCAGGAAAGAGTCCCTCTTCGAAGTAGTGCTGTGACTTTAGAGCCCATTCTGATCCCTGCCAAGTCACAGATGAACATTTTGGCAAAAATTCAGGCCGATATTGGGGAGAAAGAGTTCACATGTAATTATGTTGGACTCTTAGATCCTGAAATTCAGTCAGTACCTGGTCTTTTTGTAGCACGCAGTGACCTCTGTAAAAGCAGGTGTGACTTGTGTTCGAGCTATGAATCCGACAACTCAGGACTGCCATGTTCCCTGTGGCACAATGCTAGGTGAGTTTTATTCTTTAGTCACCCAACCAGGTGAAGAATTCACAATTCAGGAACCCACAGTAGCTCAAATACGGACTCAAATGGACTCCTGTCCAAAATTCAAAGTAGACCTTAGTCAGTCTGCCCTGAAAAGTGAAGAGCGGTCTCAGCTAGAGACTCTGATTTCCAAGTACTCAGATGTTTTTAGTGTGGATGATTATGACTATGGTCGTACAGCCAGCCAGGGTCTGCTCCCAGATGAAAAGAACCTGAACAAAGTCCGGTCTTGGCCTACCCCTAGGACTGTCACCGA